CCAGAATTCCCCAGCCAGCCAAGCTGGCTGGGGAATTCTGGGAGTTGAAGTCCACACATCTTCAAGCTGCCAAGGTTGAGAAGCACTGCTCAACAATGTAGTTTATTGTAAATCATTATGGTTGAAAAAACAAGGTAACAGAATTCCTATTGCCGTAACTTGGTTTGTCATGCTTAACAATATTAGTTAAACTTATAATAATCACATAGCGCCCTGGCCACATTGTAGGTAGAATATGCAAATTATACATTCAAATTATATGGCCTACACTAAAGCAATAAAGTGAAATGAATAAGGAATCACAGGTATCTTGTACAAACATTAATAACAACTTTGAGTTTGCAGTAACACCAGATTTCTTGTCATCAGTGTTATACAGAGGACATCAAAGAATAAGGAGAACCCTCATATTAATCAGCCCTCAATAAATGAAAGTTCTCCAAAGGCTACCATGAAAACAGTCACGTAATTATAACGAGCTAAAACAAAGACGCTAGAGGATTGATATTTACTGTTTCATCATCAAATTATGAATTTGTTTTCCCCACGTTCCCATCAATATGTGCAAGATATTGGAACAAAGGACAAAGGGAAAAAGCAGATTGTTACCCTTTTTAGAACTCACACATTTCTAAACGCTAGGACCACTCTATGATAATAAAAAATGTGAAGATGTGCTCCACGCACATGCAGAGACAAACCTAGGTTTACCCTAATATGTATAAAAATAGCCGTCACACACATTCACCACATCTCTTGAAGAGCGTGTGCATCGCCTGTCCGTGAAGAGAGAAACCTGCCTATTTTCTCTTCACCACATGGGTCCTCCAGTATGGCTTGTGGCCAGGTGGGACGCATTTTGACACCTTCTCCAAGCAAGTAGTCTTCAAGGATCATAACCCTGTAGTCTCAAGCAGGAAATGTTTATGGGAAGCCAACAAGCCAGACACGAGACGACAACAGTCTCTTACCCATGTTTTCCAAGGCAATGCTGCTTTGGACATATAGCCATCGTGAATAGGAACCACTGATGGTTTCTTGTTCATCTCGCATGGAGACGGTCATTTGGTGGAACGGTCTCTCACACATCTACGCAGGTTCTGTGTTCCCACCAGTCAGCCTTGACTTAGGCCAGGTCAAAAAACAAACAGGGATTCCAGGAAAGCTACTTTATTGTTGTAGGGTCCCAAGGATCATCCTGTTCAACCTTCTGCAATGGGCAGAAAAACGACTTCAATTATCCCGGAGAGGTGGCTGTCCACCTCTTCTTAAACGGGTCCAGAGATGGAGAACCCACAACCTCCGTAGGGAGACCGTTCCACTGATCTTACCAATGTGAAGTTTTTCCTCGTCTTTAAACAAAACCTAGGTAGTCGCAACTTATATCCACAGTAATACTTCATTAGAAAATCGCCCATCAATTCAAGGTCACAGCTCTAGTAAAATGCCTTTATTGCAGATGCTAGAAAAGCTCTTGATAACAAAGAAAACTAGCTAGTGAAAGCTCTCGGATTCAACCCTACGTACCCCCAGGTTAAATGCTACACAACGAACACTGGTTGAAACTCGGGCCCTCTGCATCTAACATCGTTTGCCCTCACACCAGACTCTTTCATTGGAAACGAGAGATGTTTGGCCTGTCTGCTAAAGGGGGAAAAAGCACACCCACTGGAAAAATCTGCATTGCACCACATTCTTAAGTATAATTCCCTAGGGATAAATGAGTTATTCTCAAGGGAGTGAGTTGGCTGCAGTGTTACCTTCAGATAGAAATTGGGGCATACCCACCTTTGCCTTTTCAGATAGGTTTTAAAATAGGAGGGGGGGGATGGCGATGGCGGCAGCTTTAAGGTAGCCGTTTTGTAAGTTTTATCCATGTTTGAAAAGTGTTTGGGGACTCCATTGCTATGATGTTTTAGGGGCAATCAGACTTGGGAGATGAGCAGAGTGGAGAGATGGTTAAATAAGTTTGAGTGAGATGGGCGTCTATATAAATATGATAAATAAATAAATAAGTTATAGGATTCACCACTCAAAAGCAACCACTTGCGTAAGAATAAATATAGTCCGAGGCATTTCATTGTCTGCTCCAAGCCATACATAGCTCATTAGCAATATAGGAGTCTGGTCGACTTTTAGATTATATATATATATTCATATATGTTCAATACATGGCTATTATTTTAATCTATGAAGTCTACTAGGGTTGCACAGCTACAAATGAATAGTTTCCGTAATATCACACAGGTATCTTCTGGAGATTATATTACATTCCTAAATTCCTATAGGAATGTGATAGGAGCAAAATACGCCTAGGTATTTTTGAGGTACACTCAATTGACAGCTAAACCCCAGAGATAAGATAATGGAATTAGAAAACCGTATTATTCCATTCCTGCTTCAACAGTGCAGAGTTTGTTTATTTCTACCTCAAGAGAGTTACCATAAATGCAAAGCTGGAGGGTTATAGGCACGCATTCATCGAGAAGCGTCCTTTCCTCTGGAATTCAAGAAACCATCTGACAAGCACGATTCCACGATCTGTAGGGCTTATTTTGCCACAGGCACTCCTGGCCGCAATTTCAGCTGGCCTTGCTGCTTCCCAGCTGAAAAATTAATGGAAACCATTTTCTATGCATAGAGGAACAGTACTTATGATTCGAGGAATGGGAGCGGTGGGGTGGGGGGAGCCAACACAGCATGGGGGAAAGGGATGGTGCCACCAATGACATGTAAAGAAAGGGAACTGAAGGTTTATGGCGTGGAGTCTCCAGTGCTGCAAGTCAGGGTTGATGGGCTGTAGAAAGTGCTGATCTGGAAGGAAAGTTGAGCTGTCAGTAGACCTGGCACTCTAGCTACACCTTGTACCTTGACTTCATTTGTTTTCTGTTGCACACATTTATTTCTAAGTCACTTCCTGACACTGTTCCAGCAGAGAAAACAGGAAACCTATTTCACCAGTACAGTAACCTGTTACCTAACATTACTCTATTGAGCTACTGGGGAGAGAATTGAAGCTTTTCCTGGAGCAAACCATTTATGGTGTCACCGTTCAACACAAGTCCAGTTTTGGTTGCATCAATTTTTGCCGGAAACAAAGAGATGTTTTGGAGAGAGAGAAAAAAGGAAAAATAAACTTGAGCTAACAGAGGTACATCAGTCAAGATGCAGGATGACATTAAATGGTAGAGCAGAATTAACGATGTTATATTTTCAACAATCACTGCACGTTTTTGTATAATTTCAACACTATAGACCCCTTTGATGATCTCTTCTTCCCCAACTTAAGCCTCCAATGTTCAGAATTTAATTCTGATGCAAGTTGATGATTACAAATGAAAATAATACCAAAAGCATTATCCTCACAATTAAGTAAATAATCTGAAATAGAAAGTAGAGGCCATTTCTTCCTTTTTTATGCTATCCAAAAATTAATCACATTAATAGCTCCTAGAACTTGTTCAATAAAAATTATCTTGGCGAGTTTTCATTTATCTTGCAGCATTCACACATTCCTCTGTCCAAAGCAACCCAGCCTTGTACGGCGAGAGCCAAAGAGACCTGTATTTCCAAGCAGGACAGAAACCTATTTGGGACTTCAGAAGGACCGTTTGCAAAAAATGTGATTGGAAAGAAGGAAGAGCAGGGGAACAGTTTTACACAATGCAATCACGGATCATTTGCAAAAAAATAAATGAGGGGGGGCCTAAATATAACAACTTTTTATTGCAAGTTCTTGGATGCTAAGCAATCACTTCTCTTTAAGTGACCCTAAATGTCTTGAGACTTGGGTAGATAATCGTCAGCCCCTTGAGGTTGACCAGATCAGGAAACGGACTCCACTGCAAGACCGGAACCATCCTTTATTAAAAGAGACTCTAGTAAAAGCGTCTTGAAAGAACCTTGTTCTTCCTTCCCTCCATCTTGAGAGCCAGTCTCCGCTTACTACTTTCTCTTTTCTCGGGGCTCAAGACATGCTTCTGCAGAACTTGTTTTCTGAATGGTCCCTGAAGAGTTCCCCCAAGGTCATCTCCCTGGCTCCCTCCCCTAATGGACCTCCTCCTCAAATCCAGTGGAGATCCCCTCATATTTCCTCAAATCCAGTGGAGG